TTGTCAAGATGAGGGTATTGTGAGGCACTTCACGGTTAGGGAGACACTGCAACAAAATGGGGTGGCGGAGCGCATGAACCGTACTTTGCTTGAGAAAGTTCGGTGTATGTTGTCTAATGCTGGATTAGGCAAGGCGTTTTGGGCTGAGGCAATTAGTTATGCAAGCCATCTCATTAATCGGTTGCCGGCTGCTGCGAACGAGGGCAAAACGCCCATGGAGGTATGGTCTGGTAAACCTTGTACTGATTACAAGTATTTACAAATATTTGGTTGTTCTGCTTACTACCATGTCAGGGAAAGCAAGTTGGATCCAAGAGCAAAGAAAGCTCTGTTTATGGCTTTAGCACTGGCATGAAGGGATACCGACTCTGGTGTCCAGATAAGAAGAAATTTGTTGTAAGCAGAGATGTGACTTTTGATGAGACTGCTATGGTTAATCAAAACAAGCATGAAGGTGAAATTGAAGCTACCAAGACCATGAGTAGTTCAAAGCAGGTGGAGTTACTAAAAACTCCAGTTGTTCCAGTAAGGTCTGATGAAGAGGAGGCACCTACCCAAGAGCCTCCACAGCAACAAAATTGGGTGTATGCCAAGAAGATGGAATCCTTGGAAAAGGATAATGTAAGATTCGAAGCCAGATTGGTAGCTAAATGCTATGCTCAGAAGGAAGGCATTGACTACAATGAGGTATTTTCTCCTGTAGTAAAACATTCTTCTATTCGTATTTTGTTGGCTTTGGTTGCGCAGTTTGACCTTGAGCTGGCTCAACTTGATGTCAAGACTGCTTTCTTACATGGTGATTTGGAGGAAGAAATCTATATGTCTCAGCCAGAAGGTTTTAAGGTTGCTGGTAAGGAAAATTGGGTTTGCAAATTGCAGAAATCATTGTATGGCTTGAAGCAATCTCCAAGACAATGGTACAAGCGATTTGATAGGTTTATGATCGGGCATGAGTACACAAGAAGTCATTATGACCATTGTGTATACTTTCGCAAGCTGCAAGATGGAACCTTCATTTATCTGCTTTTATATGTTGATGATATGCTGATAGCATGTAAAAGCAAAGTGGAGATTGAAAGGTTGAAGACTCAACTGAGTAATGAATTTGAGATGAAGGACTTGGGAGAAGCTCGGAAGATACTAGGTATGGAAATTGAAAGAGATAGAGCGAAGGGCAAGATTAGTCTGTGTCAGAAGCAGTACTTGAAGAAGGTACTACAGCGATTCGGGATGAATGAAAATTCAAAACCGGTTAGTACACCTCTTGCCCCTCATTTCAAACTTAGTGCTTCCATGTCTCCTAAAACTGATGAGGAGAGTCATTACATGACTCAAATTCCATATGCAAGTGCTGTTGGTAGTTTGATGTATGCTATGGTGTGTACTAGGCCTGATATTTCACAAGCTGTTAGTATTGTTAGTAGATATATGCATAATCCAGGAAAAGGGCATTGGCAAGCTGTGAAATGGATTCTACGGTATATTCTGGGTACTGTGGATGTTGGTTTATTGTTTCAGCAGAATAAAGATTCTGGTCAATGTGTTGTTGGATATGTGGATTCTGATTACGCAGGTGATTTGGACAAGCGTAGGTCCACTACAGGTTTTGTATTCACAATTGCTGGAGGTCCAGTGAGTTGGAGGTCGATTCTGCAATCTACAGTTGCTTTATCGACTACTGAGGCGGAATACATGGCAGTAACAGAAGCTATAAAGGAAGCCATCTGGCTTCAAGGGTTGCTTGATGACTTGGGGGTTCAACAGGACCATGTGGATGTTCATTGTGACAGTCAGAGTGCTATTTATTTAGCAAAGAATCAAGTTCATCATGCACGT